TTCCTTTTTAAATTTTCGATTTTTATTTTTAATTTTTATATATACTTTTAGTAATATATAATAAATTAGAAAAGAAGTATTATAAGTTAATATAAGATAATAAAGTCTAAGATATTATTTACGATTTTTATACTTATTATTAAATAAAAGAAGATAAAGTTAAAATAATTAATCTATAAATCGTTATTAATAAAAGTATTATAGCTATAATTAGTAGAGTAATTAACTCTCTTAAATTAATATAAATTATTCTAATTAAAAATATTCTAGTATTATATACTTAAAGTTCTCTTATATATTTTAGCGTTTATTAACTTTTAAATAACTCGATTCTTTAATTAATTTAATTATATTTTAAAGTTAATATAGAGCTATCTAATAGCGACAATAAAAAAGATATTTATATAAATTTTTAAAGTTAAACTCTTTTAAATTATTACGAAATTATTAATAATATTAATATTCTACTATTTATTATTAAGAAAAGTCGATTTAGAGAATATAAAAAAGTTTAACTTCGAGATTTAGTAAGCTTTATAAAATAAGAATATTAGAGTCTTAAAAGATATATAAAATTTAATATATATAGTCTTAATAGTTTTAGTTAAAATAATATATAGTAAGTACTCTTTTTAGATTAACTATATTATTAATAAATTAATTTTTAACGCTATTCTATTAAATTAATATTTATTACTCTTATCTTTATATATATAAAAATTAGATATATTTTAATAAAAATACTTTATAGAGATTAATAATTATCTTATCTTTTTATCGAAGATTAGCTTTTAATAAATCTATTTTATAATCTTAGATAAGAGATTAAAAGCTATTAATTTTAGCGATAGAATTAAAAGCTTTATTCTTATTTATTAACGCTATTATAAATTAAGAGTTTTAATAAATAAAATATAAATTATAATTTATAATAAGTTTAAAATATCGCGTATAGAAGATCTTCTTTAATAATTACTTTATAAGAAGATTTAATTAAAAATTAATTTTATTTAAATATTAATATAATAATAGCTATATTCTATTTATAGTATTAATTAATTTTTATTTTATATATAAATTAAATATATAGTATTAAAAGCGATATAAAAAGAGTTTTCTATTATTTTAAATCGATTAATTTTTAATTTAATATTTAAAATAAAAATTATTAATAAGATAATCACTTTTATAATACTTAACCTTAATCTAAAGAGTATAAATAAAAAATAATAAAATATCCTCTATTAGACTATTATTTAATCTTTATAAAAATATTATTTATTATATAGTTTTAGCGATTTAGTTATATACTAATTCTTAAATATTATTTAAAATTATTATTAAACTTTAATTCGAAAGTAGATTCTTATAAATCGAGTTTTATATCTCTATAAGAGGTATTAAATTAAAGAGTATAATATATAGATATTTAAGAATCTTTAAGACGAGTTTTCTAATCAAATAAAGATTTATAAGAGATTTTATCTATTTAATATTTAATTTTTTTATAATAATAAGTTAGATTAAGCGAAGAATAGTAAAGATAATTAAGAAGTTAAATAATACTACGAAGAATTAGAATATAGATATTAGCGATATTAGCGATTAAGATAAATTAATAAATTTAAATCTACTATTTAAATAGTTTTTCTAATTTTTTATTTATACTCTTTTATCTCTAATTTATTTAATTTAGCGTTAATTTAATAGAGTTACTTCAATATAATCTTTCTCTATAAAGACCTTTACGCGATACTCTATATATACTGTTAAGAGAGCCCGTTTCCCTATAGATTTTTAGATGAGATATCTTCGTTAAGATAACTATCTTAGCTAAATAGTCGAATAAAATAAATAACTTTCAAATTAAATAATAATTACGTATATCGAAGATTTAATTAAATATCTAACTTTTTTAATTATCTATATAAATTTTATAATTTCGAGTTTTATTAATTAGTAATATTATAACGATTCTATACTAGTTGAAAAATCGTTCTAGAATCGATTTATAATCGTTTTATAATCGTTTTATAATAGTCGTAAACTATAAATCTCTTCTCTTAGAACTTATAACGATTATAGTTTTATAATCGTTCTATAATCGTTTTATAATCGTTATAATAATTTTTTTTAAATTTTTTTATACTAAGTCTCGAATAGGCTAGTAGTATTATATAATATATCTTCTAATATAAAAATTTCGCTAAAATTCGAAAAAAACGAATTTTAAGTTATTAGCGTTAATATTTAAGCTTATATATACTAAGCGAATTTTTAATCCTATAAAGAACTTTAAAATTCAAAATTTATTTTTAATTATTATATAGATTATTTATAGTTCTATAAGAATCGTATAATCGTTCTATAATCGTTTTATAATCGTTCGATAACTATTACGTAATCGTTACGTAATCGTTAAATAATCGACGTAAAATTATAAATTAGAATAATTCTTCTAACGAGTATAAATTAAGTTTTATATCGATTATATATCGATTATTTATCGATTATTAATTATAGAATCGTTATATAACGATAATATATCTTTAGTAATAATTAGAATAGTAGCTTACTATAATATTTATACTTTAATAATTATAAGACTAAATTTAAAAATTCTTTTTTTATTTAAAAGCCTAATCTACGTTCTATAATTAAAAAAAATTCTAAATTTTTAATAGAAAATAAAAAAGTGATTCTAAAATTAAATAATATATATCTACTTTTTAATTAGGATTATTCGACTATCGAGCGAACTTTAATAAGTGATATTTAAATTCCTTACGCTTTAATATCTTACGGAAGCTACTATATATAAGAATTTACTATTAATAGAAAATAGATAAATTATTAGCGATAATAATATAATTTATATAATAATAATTATATATCGAATATATTTAGATTTTCTATTTTATATAACGTATATTAAATAGATTTATATAAAACTTTCTATCTATAGAAGATTAAGTTAAATTTATTATTAATAAATAGTTAACGAATAGTTAATAAAATATAAAAGAGATATCGATTTATTATTATTTTAATACTACGCTATAAAGTAATATATTAATATATTACTAATAGAGAATTAATAAATAGAAATAATATATAAAAAAAATCGAATATTTCTTTAAGTTCTATAGTTCTATAGGGCTATATATCTTACTTATATATTAAATTTCGAGAAAAATCGAAAAATCGAAAAATAAATTATATAACGTTAATAAATAGACTATTATAAGCGAAGCGAGATATTCGAAATTATATAAATCTTAATATATAATAAGAAAATTGCGAAATAACTATCTATTTATTTTATAATATCAAATAATTTACTATTATTAAAAATTTAATATTAATAAAAAGTTAATTAAAATTTAATTAAAAGTTAATTAAAAGTTAATTAAAAGTTATAATATCTATCGAGTTAATAATATAATTACGTAATATATCTTAATCGTATATTTTCTCTAAGATAATTATAAGATTAAATTAATTTTTTTTATCTAAAAGCTTATATTTTATTCTATAATTTAAAAAAAAAATTAAAATTTTAATAGAAAATAAAAAAGTTATTCTATATATTAATAACGTATATCTATTTTTTTAATAAGAGAGCTTAAGAGAGCTAGCGGGCGAACTTAGATAGTCTAGTTAAAAGATATAATAATCTCGAATTTAGAATTAATTATATATATAAATTTAAGATTTTTTAGCTTAACTCTATCTTATTCTTTTATATATATTAATCTATATATTAATCTATTATAAAGTACGAGTAAAGGCCTATAAATTAAATTCATAACCGTTTTTTTGATCAGGGCTGTCGAGTAAATTTGGTGAGCGGTCTTTGGTGAGCGGTCTTTGGTGAGCGATCTTTGATGAGCGATATTTGAATGCCTTGCCTTTTAATAATTATAAGACCAAATTTCGAAATTCTTAAAGCGTTCAAAAGCGCAATCTACGCTCTATAATTTAAAAAAATAATCTCAAAATTTTAATAGAAAATAGTAAAGTTATTAAAGGGTTAAAAGTAGGGTAAGAGATTTTGATGGTTGCGGACGCTAATTTGTTTACTCGCAGTAACTTAGCCGGTCTAATCAAAGAGCGTAGTAACCCTAAATTTATGATTGGCTGTCACGCGGGTGACAAAAGTCGTTGCACACTAGCCCCAAATCGCCATTTGGGGCTAGTGTGCAACGACTTTTATCACCCGCGTACTGTATATACAAATTCAAGGTTTTCTAGCTCAGCTCTATCTTATTCTTTTATATATACTAACGAGTAAAGGCCTATGAATTAAATTTATAATTATTTTTTTAATTAGGGCTATCGAGTAAATAGATAAGCGATCTTTAGTAAGCGATATTTGAATTCCTTGCGCTTTAATAATTATAAGACAAATTTTTAAGATTTCGAAAAATTCGGAAAGCGCAAATAGCGCTTCAAAATTTAAAACAAAAATTTCAAAATTTCAATAGAAAATAAAAAAGTTATTACTATTGTGAATAACGTACATCTATTTTTTTAATATGGGAGGCGCGGAAGGGCGAGATTTTGATGGTTGCGGACGCTAATTTATTTACCCGCGATGACTTAGCTAATCTAATCAAAGAGCGTAGTAACTCTAAATTGATGATTGGCTGTATATATAAATTCAAGGTTTTCTAGTTCAGCTCTATCTTATTCTTTTATATATACTAATTTTCTACTAAGACGCTATTAAGACGCTATCTTCTATCTCTTCGTTTCTCGTTTCTATTATATCTATAATAATATCGCTTATTAAACGAAGTTTTAATCTTCTTTAGAAATTAATATTAATATATTATATTATCGCTATAAAGAATTATTTCGATATAAATAAAGTAAAGAATATTATCTAAACTTAAAGTCTTTTATCGTGAGATATATAGGGTCAGCGTAGCCTCTTATCTAACTTAGATAGAGCCGAAAGCTTAATGTATAGATCGTGGGCGGGAGGCTGCATTAATATGGACGGGGGACTGTGGGAGGGCGACTGTCCCGAGTTAAGTTGTATGGATATCGAGACGAAAGATGACAGTGAGGCAATGGCGCCACCGAGAGGGTGTCAGCATTACGCAGATTTGACCGAGATGCCGTGGGATATTCAGAAGTTTGTGTTATGCAATCTTGCTTTTTCAACCATAGCGTTACTGATAATATCTTAAACAGATATTACCATCAGCGATTTAGCATCTTCTCGAAATACGACGAGGGTATATGGATGACGGAAGATGCTTGGTTTGGCGTAACCCCGGAGCCTGTTGCAAGGTAAGCTATAGTAACAAAGTCATGATTTGAACGCGTTGACAGCTTTTAAGCACCATTGCAAAGCATATTGCCGGAGCTGCCTCTGCAAGCAAGGCAATATTGATCGACTGCTTTGCAGGCGTTGGTGGCAACGTTATCGCATTCGCCCAGTCTGAGAGATGGAAGAGAGTTTACGCCATTGAGAAGGATTCGAGAGCACTGGCATGTGCGAAGCACAACGCCGAGATCTACGGTGTCCGAGACAGTATATCTTGGTATGAAGGGGATTGTTTCGAAATTCTGAGGAACGAGCTCGCAGAATTAGGCCAACACAGCATCCTCTTTGCCAGTCCTCCATGGGGTGGTCTGTCAACTTTGCTACGATTAGTAAGACACGAAGCGTCGCTAATGAATGCAGGCCCAGGATACAGATCGGACACAGTCTTTGACCTCGCAAAGATGCAGCCTTACACCTTGACAGATGTCTTACATCCCTTCCAACAATTGACTGAAGACGTAGTTCTATACCTACCGAGGACTTCTGACGTTCGACAACTGGCGAACAAATCAGGTAAAGGGAGGAAGACGACTGTGATGCACTACTGTATGGAGGGTGCTAGTAAGGTCGGTCGCACATACCGATCTGGCCCGTCCAAATTTTGACTAAACTATAGGCGGTCTGCGCGTACTACGGTGCTTTCGCATTTCACTGAGCATGCAAAATGCAAATGGATATGGAAGATGCTGATAACTAGAGGCTCTATTACGAGGTGAGCGAGGGCTGGTGCGCCTGGCGGGTAAACAGATCACGAGTGTGCGGGTGAAGAGTATTTGAGGTCGAGAACAGCAACACCGAGCTATCAAGACGTCAATTAATTTAAATACACAATCTTAACAGCATGCACTTATTACACCAATGAATGGAATGTGAAATTAAGTTCAAGTGGTGATTGGCATTCGCCAAATCTGAGACTAGTGTTATTGTGGAGACGGAGCTAAAAAGCTAATTATAAGCTCATCATTTAGCTGCATTCCAAAGTCACATCGGCCTCGGGGTATTTACAAGTAATAGTACAGACATCGCTCCGTGTCTGGCTTTACCCTTGAGTGCGGAGCAGAATTTTCAACAACACCTGTCCCTGTTTCCTTAGCTTTCCTGTGACAGCATCTTTGACCTGGATCTGATCATCTTTCGTATGGCATGATCGAAAAGTGATTCGTTCGGCACGAAGAAGGCGCGACCTATTGAAGCGCCCTCACTACACTTACATTCGCCGGAGGGTGAAGAGCGAAGAGCTGCCATGCCTCATGCGACAACGGAACAGCATTCTGGCGATGATCATGATGACATCTTGATCCAGCAGGTCATCAATGCACAGACTACAGAGGATACTTTCGGCCTCAACCGCGAGCTTGAACCGGGTGAAAAGGCGGAGGATGCTGAGAACTATGAAGACATCAGTGATGATGATCTGGCGGATGACGAGGATGCGGAAGGGGAGCGAAGGTCTCGGACAGGGCATGGGAGTCAGACTGGTGCTTCTCCTAGAAGCCTGGACGCGTTCACGCAAGATATCGACTTTCCGGCATTAAGAAACGGAAACGGCCTTGAAGACAATGCCTATGATGATGACCTTTTTGGCGAAAACTCATCACCTCCGGTGGAAACCAAAACAGGTATGGGACAGACCCAAACGGGGCATGATCAAGATGGCCTATCAGACTTTGACGACAGCACGTCGCCTCAAGCTCAGCCTGTGCCTCTTCCAGCGTCCCCTTTATCACGCCAAGTAGAAGCTCAGGGGAAGTCTGTCTCGCGGCTAACGACTCTCAGCTCCAAAGAGTCACCGCCATCGAAGGAACTACAGCGCCAACAAGAGCTGCTTGCTATGTCCAGAAATGGCGCCGCGAATACCGATGGCTTACCGGCCCCCCCTGAAAATCGCGAGGAGCTACTGGCATCACTGTGGCCCAAGTTCGAGCGTGACACAATACCGAAGTTCATGGACTTGCTTCCACCAAAACGAGCAAGATACCTTGGCAAGTCCATTTCTAAACCGCCGAAACCAATCACTCCCACCAAAGTCAATCTTGAGCTTGCCCTAGATCAGGAGAAAAGCTTCAAGGTCTCATCGATGCCCAACAAGCCTAACATGGAGGAGACCAGTATCCCGGGAATCGTGACCATACAAGAATACATCGTTGTTGACAACGACAATGGAGAAGACGTAGACATGGAATCTGACGTCGAACACGAGCTGGTTGGAGAGATTTCGTGGGAAGACTTGCAAGTAATATGCGAGGACTGGGATACTCGTAGTGCGGCAGAATCCCTTGAAACTGAACAGGATTCGTCTCGCAGCCACAAAGCTGGCAAACCCGATAAGTACGAAGACCTGAATCATGATCCTGATCATGGATCCCCATCTGCAAAAGTGAGTACGAGGCAGTATTCAATGGGAAAACATGCTCACATTTAAACATAGCGACGGAAACTAGACCATTTAGAGGCAAACATAATCCACACTCATCAATTCTCATTTCCCTCGTTCCAGGATCCTGAGCAAGCTACTTCAAAGATTGCAAAGACTATCACACTAGACCTTAACGATTCGAGACTCCTGATCGATCATCTCCAGCCCAACGCCATATCTAGAAACGTCTTTGGGCGATCGGATCTCAAGAGAGCAGGGCGTGGAGCATTCACAAAAGGTCTCAGCCAAAGATATAACATCTCCAACGATGACGCATATGACTTACTCAAGGAGAATCACCAAAGCAAGGTTCGAAGCATGCTTGGCAATGTGGCTGTGGAGCACAGTCTACCTGCCATAAGGCTGCAATGGCCATTCGTAAGCATTTCGAACCTACCCTGATCATTTGCTACCCTGTTACTAAAGCTAACATTGCAAAGTACAAAACAAAGTTGGACAAGCATGATGCAAGATCCTTCCATCGACCAGGCTTGAAGGTCAACCGCAACGAACAGGTCGCTTTCAGCAAACCAGCAATCACGAAAAAGAAGCACACGAAGGGAAAAGATACGCAGAAGCTGTTCCCTGACAGCAAAGCTCTATCTTTGGCGGACAACTCGAATGTGCTTCTGTTAGAGTATTCCGAGGAGTACCCAACGATGCTCTCAAACGTTGGCATGGGTAATCGCGTCATCAACTATTACAGAAGAAAGACTATGGACGACACATCAAGGCCCAAGCTAGATGTTGGCGAGACAGCTGTCCTTTTGCCCCAGGACAAGAGCCCTTTCTCTATTTTTGGTCATGTCGACCCCAGCCATATCACCCCAACGCTTCACAATGGCATGTACAGAGCCCCAATCTTCAAGCACACAGCGAGACACAACGACTTCTTAGTAGTGAAAAACACAACCGGAACAGACGGCTCCTCCTGGTACATGAGAAACATCGAAAACCTATACCTAGTCGGCCAGGAGTTTCCGTCGGTAGACGTTCCGGGTCCTCATTCGCGAAAAGTCACCACAGCCTCCAAGAACCGCCTGAAGATGATATCCTACCGCCTGATCCGAAAGAGCAAGAACAACAGGATTAGCGTAGGCGAAGTTACGAGTCATTTCGCCGATACCAGCGATATGCAAAATCGGCAGAAGATGAAAGAGTTTATGCAATTCAACAAAGAGCACAAGGAATGGCAAATGCGGTCTGGGGAAGCAATTCCTGACGAAGAAACGATTAGGACAATGGTGAAGCCGGAAGACGTGTGTCTACTCGAGTCAATGCAGGTGGGTCAGCAGCATCTACAGGACGCAGGTTTCAACAAAGAGGACGACGAGTCTGAGGGTGACGAGTCCAAAGAAGGCCAAAGTATTGAGCAACAACTTGCGCCTTGGTACACGTCGCGGAATTTTCTGCATGCTACGCAGGGTAAAGCTATGTTGACATTGCATGGAGAAGGAGATCCGACACGCCGTGGTGAGGCTTTTAGCTTCATCAAGACCTCTATGAAAGGAGGATTCAAGCCTGTGGGAGCAAGCGCGAATGAGAAAATGAATGCGAGGCAAATGAAAGAGTCTGGTGGCCACGCTTACAACGTTCAAGATCAGCAAAGATCGTACGAAGAATCGATTCGGAAAATATGGGAAGCTCAAAAACAAAGTCTGTCATCGGCAGTCGATCAGTCAGAATCCGACATGGACGAGAATCCGATCGAAGAGGCTTCGAATAGTGCCTTCCGTGCAGAGACTCCACGATCCGAAGCGCAGACGCCTGCCACTTTACGGCGTCGAGATGACGAGACTACCAGTCAATTTACGCAGGCTAGTACCGGCAGCCAAGCAGGGAAGATTCTCAAGATCACACGTCACATTCAAGATGAATACGGCAATGTCGAACCACATACCGAAACTGTACGAGCACCAAAAGTGATACGGCAGTACCTCAAGCGAAGACACGCAAAGGAGGCAGAGACCACAGGGTAAGAGCTACCTGACTGCTATTAGTTGCAAGGCTGACTGTACCAGGCTCACTGATATCAAACCGACCGGAATTGCTGAGCAGGACCGGCGTAACCAACAGAGGTACATCCTTGTTCATGATCGCACGAATTGAAATCCTGATTGCTATTCAGGCTGGAAAAAGAGCTGGCACGACTACAACGCAATAAAGAGCGTCGTATTGCTCGTGACAAGCAGAAAGTGGCCCATTTGGATGGAGCTGCTGATGAACCAGGCTCGCCGTCATCTCCGGCCAACGTACCGGTGAAAAGTGCTGGCACGCAACGCAAGTGCGCAAATTGTGGTCAAGTTGGCCACATCAAAACAAACAAAAAGTACCATTCCCGACTTCTTTATGATGCTCCTTTAAACTGCTCGTTGTCCTCCATGCTTGTTGCTAGTTTGCGTCATTCTATCGAGTTTCTGTGACACTGTGCTGACTGGGTTATTATCGGACTCAGGCTTTGTCCCATGCTCAATGGTACGATGAAGCAAGACGAAGGATTTGGCAGTTCCGCGTTCACCATTGGCACCCCCGACTTGTGAAAGCCATGTTGGGTCGATAATGGAGGAGCCAGTGACTAACGTGCTTGCATCTCAAGGCGCCTCGTGTTTTGCCTCGAGAGCGGGCCTTCACATGGCATGGCCCTGTGTTGCATTGCGTAGACGTTGAAAATAGCAAGACAACCGTGTGGATCTGGGCAAGCCCGGGCTTTCCAAGCAGCCCACAATGGAAACATGATTTATCGTGCAAGATCGCAGACATCTCACACGCTCACACAGGGCGATTTGTCAAAGATATTGCTTGCACGATTCATTTGCCCTACTAACACTCAGCTGGAGACTTCCAGTTGCAATATAGCCATACTCTCGTTGATGTAGGAATACGCGGGGTTTCGGTCGCCGCCAATCCCAATCTCTGAATTGAGCCCGGCCTTGCTCGACCAGTTGACAAATAAAGGAAGGGGTCAAAGGGTAGAAAAATATCCCACGCCACCGAGTTCAAGCAGCTCAAGCAGCGGATCAGTCAAAGCTAGGTATCATGCTCCTTGCACCACGCTGCCGTCCACGCTCTTCCTCGAATGAGACAAGCCTGGGCCTGCGGTACGTGTAACCAAGGAAAGCTCCCTTCTTCCGAATTTCGAGGACTTTTCTGCCCAAATCTTTGTCCCTGAGGACCCGATCTCGCGCCCTTTTCTTTTCTTTTACTTTGCCTGCTTCGTCCTTTCTAGCGCCAGCCTGGTCTTTCCCAGCGCGAGCAGGGTAAGCAGGGTTCGGGAGAAAATTGTCCTGACCTTGTGCGCCATCAACCTGTGTCATACGAGCTGTGCCGAGAACAGCATCACGCATTTCCTCATCCGAGGCGTCACGCGGGTCAGATTGACTAGCCGCATCATCGACATCGCTGATCGGCTCTTCTTCATCAAAATATTTGGTATCGTCGCGGCCACTTACGTCGGGAACGAAAGGGGGTCTTGTCAAGTGTAGTCGATCCCAGGAGATACGACGAAAGAAAGAATGGGCTTTGATATCAGCCGCATCGTCTGGATAGACATAGTTACCTTGATAGTCTTGCGCATGTGGATCTGCACGTCTTGCTATCAGTTGACCTGGAGTGCGTTTCGAATGCTGGTAATCATTGAGCCGATACTTCTTCGAGCAAAGTCGATGCTCCTTTTCCTGTAAGAGGCTGTTGATGAGCTCCATGGCATCAAAAGACACCTTCTCTTTTCTATCCACCTCTCGCTCGTCAGGAAATATTAATGTTTTCGCGTTGTCCTGCAGCAGTCAGTACCATTCTTCGCAAAGTAGGTCACTATCCGTACTAATATCTTGGCCTTGGTGTCTTCTCTTTTTTCGCAGACAAAAGGTGTGAAGCCGTACAGACACTTTTGCTGGTTTCAGCGCGAACTTTACCCATGACCTCCGATATCTGACTAACCTCGTAAAGTATGATACCAATGCTCCACCAATCACAACGCCCATCATATGGGTCGCCACGGATTACCTCCGGGGCCATGTACTGACTCGTCCCAACTACGCTTCCGGCCAATCTCCGCTTGCCATGGCGATTCCTCCACTGCAGTATTGATTCGTGCTCGCTTGGGCCATCGACCTGTGGCTTTTCGTGCCGTGCTCCCCGGCCCGTGAGAATATCAGCCAAATTGGTCTTGACTTCTTTCAGAGCATCTTCTTCTTTGTCTTGAGAGTCACCCTTGACCTCGATGCCTAGTTTCTCCATCAAGGATTGTCGATGATTCTTGAAGTAACGTTGGTCGTGTGCCCAATGACCGTCGAACGCAAGGCCAAAATCCGATATTTTTAGGTGACCAGATGCGGATATCAAGAAGTTGTCCGGTTTGACATCTCGATGAATCCATCGGAGTCGGTGAGCTTCTTCAACGCAGAGAATCATTTCTGCTATGTACCATCTTGCGTGCCTTTCTTTCAAGATATCCTTGCGAAACAGTAGGCCCAAGAAGTCACCCCCGACCATGTATTCCATTACCAAGTAGAGGTTGGTGCTGTCTTGGAAGCTGGAAACGAGGGGCACAACCCATCTAGACTTCTCAGAAGCAACAAGGAAATCCCGCTCGGCACGCAAATGACCCTCTTGACAGTTCCGGAGCATATCAGATTTACGAATAACCTTCATTGCGTAAACTTCTTTTCGCGGCGTCCTGGAACCCCATCGATGAGAACTTCTCGGACCGTCTAGAGTGGATTTCAAGGCTTCTATGGCAGTGGCCCTTAAGTTATTCAATTCTTCGCGTGGCGATTGTCTCCAATTGGTCATAGCTGGCACCGGTTGAGGGGCCGAAACTGTGTCAATTTTCTCACGCACAAGTCTAACAACCCCAAAACTGCCTTTCCCAAGGATTCTGACCACTTCGTAGCCGGCAACAGCAACGCCCGAACCCGAGCCTTTGCTTACCTCATTGGTTTTGCTTTTCAATACACGAGTCTGCCGAAGATGCTCACTCTCATGGGCTGCCCATGCGGAACGCTCTTGTTGGCGTTGCTCTTCGGACACTGACTGAGATTCTAGACGAAATTCGAGATCATTTCGTCTCATCGAGCGCGGACTCGTATGACCTGCTAACAATGAATTGAAATGAGTCTCGAAGAAGATCTTGGCATTCGCTGTTGTCTCTACGGTGACCACAGTGGGATTAATGACTGGCGGTGCTTCTTGAATTGGGGTCAGTGGCTTTTCATGTGCGATTTTCTCTGCAGTGGCGAGATTTGCTGTATCACTAGGTCCTTCGTTGCCGTCCGGAGCTTTGGTAGAACGCAAAGAGGCGACGTTTGACTCAAGGGAGGTCTTGCCGGTAGATGGATCACCTACGGATACACTGCCACTATAGTTGTAACTCGAAGGCGCAGTGCTCACCTGAGGGCTAAGCTCCTGGTCACTTTGAGCACCAGGTTCTTGAGGAAGGTCTTCATGCATTGAGAGGAGGCTTGGCCTCGTGCGAAGGTTCGGGCGGTGGATTATTGTAGGGTTTCCAAAAGTGGCAGACAGCTTATGAGAGAGCTGGTGAGCAAAGCCTGAATTAGATTTACTTTTCCGGAGCCCTGGCTCTTTACGCTTGATGTGGGTGTCATCCGGGACCAGATAAGACTGAGCCGGCTTGTTCGATGCCCAAGGTTCGTCAGCAACACTCGCTTGGGCTATTTCAGTCTCAATCAAGGGCAAGAGCCGAGTCTGTGACTGGTCTGGCAGCATAGGAGCAGGAATTCTCTTGCCAGAAGGTGACTCCGACAGGCCAAGAGGACTAAGGTTTTGGCTACGAGCTGCCGTCGAGGTCGAGGAAGTTGCAGCATTCTTGACGATAGTCAGGGCAACCTCTCGCTCACTTGGGTGAAGTGACGAGTGCTTGGTATTCCGCATGTCTGACCGCGTTTAGTGGGTATCTTAGAAGCTCAACCAGAGAAGAGCACATACCACTGCTCCTCTGTAAGCCTACGATGGAAAGGAACCTCGAGCCATGGCGTCGCATCCTCTCTGCCATTCCCGATCGCTCGTCGCCGTCTTCCATGCTACATCCATCCAAAGATGTCTCGTTGATAGCGAATCGATCGGCAGCGCCGTCGTGTTTATCGAGCATCGACTGATCGACAACAAGAACCTTTTTGGGCTGACTGGAAGCAATAAGGCTTCTGGAGCTCCAGTGCCATTTTCTTTTGGTATCCCCTTTCATGCCGGCGTTCTTTATTGATTACTTTGACGTCGAGTTGTGAGAACTCAGCATAACAATGCACTTGAAAGAGAATGTTCGGAAGCTATGAAATGCTGACTAGAGGCTGTGGGAAAAGTTATGTGGACTATGATTGTTATCAGGACGCTTGAATACGAGTGGGAAGGATCGGGCGACAGAGGCATTCAAAAAGAAGAAAGTGCAACACGACGCTGAATTGGACCTGATCAACTCTGCAGAGAAGGAGCGAACACATTTACAATTTGTCAAAGCAATTCAGATCTCCTCGACTTTACATCAACTGAGGACATCCACGGGAAATCAGACCGAATTGAATTCTGTACAAATATGGATTGAGAAATCTCATAACTCTATAGGGGAGGTTTCTCAAGCCCATTGGGAGCGGTGGTCGACGAAACATCCCGCTTGGCCGCGCTGGAGAATTGTGAACTTTCCTCTGAGGTCTGTCGCTTGCCAGTCGCTGTTAGCGCTTCGGCCTCTGAGTTGTCTCTCGTGATAGGCTTTTCAAGAAGGGGGAAAGCCTCATTTGACGGCTTGCTTTCCTCTTCGATTAGCGCTAATTGTTGTCGGAGTCGTGCTGTATGATCGTCGGAGATCTTCAAAGATTGGTCAACCTCTCGCGTTAGATTAGTGATTTGATCGTCGAGCAATTCATCATTATCCCGTTGTGCTACTCTGTGATCCCCACCAGTGGTTGGCTTCTCCTGATTCGTGCCCTCCCAGAGCGCCTCGAGATCCTTCTCCCAGCCTAAGGCTGCTGCAAGTCTCCGCACTCCAGCGTCACAATCGCCAAGGAGAAGGACATCGTCTGGCCGAGAGCCTAGCCCACCAACGCGCTCGAGATTGATGAGGACTCTTGGCACACCTTCCGAACAAAAGCCTGGCAAGCTAGCAAAAGGCAGCACTGTCAAACTAGTCCCAATGACAATGCACAGATCAGCACAGCTGGGAAGCGACCGGTTCCGATGGAATTCTTCTGGCAACTGCTCACCGAAAAATACGATATCGGGCTTGACCAGACCATTACACTGAGGTGTAAGACAATGAGGAATATCACGTTTGCTCACTGCCTGCCTCATGATATCGTCTGAGAAGGACGATTTGCATTCTATGCAGTGGTTATGAGCGAAGCTGCCATGAGCTTCTACGATTTTGTCTTCTGGCACACCGGCTTCCCGGTCAAGGCAGTCGATATTCTGGGTGAACAGTTTCAGCAAGAGGCCTTTATCCGAAAGCAACCGGACAAAGGAATGTGAGACGGTTGGCCTGTATTTGCCGGGATACATTTCGTGGGCGAGCGTGTAAAAGGGTAGTGGGTTGTTTCTGAAAAATGATATGTCAAAGACAGCCTCCGGATAGGGCAAATCGAGTCGCGCGAGATTGGCGTAGAGGCCGGTATCTGGGGATCGAAAATCTGGGATACCGGCAGATGTGCTGATGCCAGCCCCAGCCTGTCAAATCGACGTGACATTTTGTTAGACCCGAATTCAACAGCTCTATATCCCCTTCACTCTTGTCAAGAAAATCCCTCCCCGAAAACTCACCATGACCACTATCTTCTTGGCATGTCCTTCTCTGATGTACGTGGCAACCGAGTCCACCGACCTCTCTTTGAGAGTTTGGGGTGGCGTGCTGTCATTAATGGGGGAAGACTGCTCTTGTCCCATCCCGAATGGACGTTGTCGGCCTTGGCCAGGCTTTGAATGCCTTTCTCTTCTCCGACGACCTATATTTGCGGTGCAGTAAAAGGCAGATATATGATAAATTTGTTTTAACCGTCGATACTTCTACTAATTGATGACCCGGCTAGTGGTGGAGTATTTCAAGTTGCATTGTATCTTAGAGTACTCAGTGTTCCGAATCAATGCGGAAGACGTCATTTTGCCTAGCACTTTGATTTCATTACGCGTCGCTAATACGAGTATTCTAGAGTACGGAGGTCTGCACCAAAAGTTCTGCACCCGCGCTAGTGATAGCTCTAACCCTAACTTCGGAAGGCGACCCTGCAGTGGGAACCCTAGAACTAGCTTTTCGGGAGCGCATACGTTGAACATTTAGGGATCTTTGTAGGCTCTATGGGGTCCTTGAGCCCCAGAGTAGGCTGAGGTCAGGTGCAATTCCGACACAATTCTAAGGGCATTGTCCAGGCAACCCTTGAGGTGGGGCGATATCCGACATCTGGGCCCTTTGCTTGGCAGGTGGCAGGGTGGAGGACTTTTGGTGCAGACCTCCGTAGGGCTGATCGTACTGTAATTTTGATTTCCTACGGAGAAGCTTCTTCTGCATACCTTACTATTTCTGCTAGTATATCACAATAGTCCTACGAACAGTTCATCCAACGAAGGATGGTATTCATAACCGCAAATCTTTTCCTCTTAGGAGAGACCGAAGGTTGTGCGTCTCGCTGTTGCTAAGATGCGGAACACGAACGGGCTTTCTAGACATCGTCTCCCAGGTCAATTGCAAGATGATCATGACAAGGATGTCATATCATCAAGCGTAGATGTTTATCAAGGGAAGTCGATCGCTGAGATTAGGGAAAGCCTTTCTCATCTGAGCGAGCAGGAGGCTTCCGTGACAGCTCGTCTCAATAATCTCATAACTTTCCAAAAAGATCTCTCACGCGAACTTGGTCGCTTGGACCTTCTGCGTGCCCAGATTGGATCTCAGGCAGTGGCGACGAGATCAATCAGTAACGGCATTTTGTCCGGTGCTGCCTCTACTGCGACGCGTATTTCCGGTGCCGTAAAGCGACTCGACCTTGAGCAAGCCCGGGTGCGGAGTACTCTGAATGTTGTAGAACAAGTCGCTGAGCTCAAGGCATGTGTCTTGGGGGTGACTGGGTCCATGGGAGCTCCTCAAGATTGGGAAACAGCTGCTGGGTATCTCAATCGTGCCTCCAAGATTCCAAAAGAGATTGTGAACGGGTCTTTCGCCGAAGAGATCGTGCCCACTGCCGAAGTCCCGGACCCACCCAATGTGACCTTGGACCATGCTGCAGAATCACTGCGTGGCCTTTTCCTCCGCGAGTTTGAGAAAGCCGCGCAAGAAGGCAACGGGGCCAAAGTCACTCGCTTCTTTAAGTTGTTCCCTCTCATCGGAAAACCCGAGGTTGGCCTTGATGTCTATGGTCGTTATGTCTGTCAAGGAGTTGCATCCCGTGCACGTGCCAATCTGAACGCCGGCACGGAAGGAAATCAGCGACGGGAAGGCTTCTTCTATGCCAATGTCTTGACAAAATTGTTTGAGCATATTGCACAGATCGTGGAGCACCATGGGGGACTCGTGGAGCGCCACTATGGTGCCGGACGAATGGTGAAGGTCATCGAGCGCTTACAGCTGGAGGCCGATGTCCAAGGTGGCATTGTTCTAGATACTTGGAGCGATGAACGAAATGTGGACCGCAAGCTCACCGACATCAGATCTTACGCATTTACGTTTCTGGTGCAAAGCTTTCTCCCGGCGCAGCCAGCGAGAAGTGGCACCCCTCGTGCTGGGTCTCCTGCCATCAGAGGCTCAGTGGCAGAGTCACAGGCCCGTGAAGACGAAGGGGTGGATATGAAGGAGGTTGATGGCGTCCTAAGCGAAATCGCCATAATGCTAGGGCGATGGTCACTTTACTCTAGTTTCGTAGCCGCTAAGTGCAAGGTAGACAGATGATGTTTCACGGAGACCGAAACAGGCACTGACGTGAACAGGAATCTTCCTCAGAACCTGAGGGTGTTAATCAGGATTTGTTGGTGCCACCATTACTAGCCAATTCGAGCTTGAACAGAAAGGTCGCCGATAGACTAGCTACGCCTTTTAATGTCATGACAACTTTCTTCTTCCGGAGATCAGTTGAGAAAGCATTCCAATTAGATGAGCAGCCGTCAGATCTCTCTCTAAATTTCAAGCAATCTCTACCCTCCAATCCACCTTACATCACTTCAGCTGTCGATGATGTGATGTACATTGTCAACCAAGTCGTTGAGAGGTCTCTTGCAACATCCCAAAAAGACGTGATATCGAGCGTCATCCCTACTCTAGCGAGAGTGCTTGGCTCCGACTTCATTGGTATGATTCAAAGAAAGATGCGAGACGAGAGTTACCCAAAAATCACGGTCCAAGGTGCCCCACCTGGGGAGCAAACGATCATATCGTTTTTAGTCCTCATCAACAACCTGGATGTTGCTACAGACTATGTGAAGCGAATAGTCCAATCTCGTGTTGAGACAGTACCCGCTGCAGCCTCGGCAAACGGTGGCGGAAGTGTCTCATCCAGATCGCTGACGGCTCTATTTCCTCTGGATCATGATGCTATGATGGTAGGCAATGCGCTGAAATCCTTGCAGAATAGCTTTGAAGGCAAGACGTCAGAGCTGATCAGCGACGGAATATTTGTGGTTTTCAAGAATGTAATGAAGCCCCGTCTTCGCCCGATTCTCGCTGATGCGTTCCGCGATGTTGACTACCGAATAAGCCAGGAGGAGCTCGAGGAGATGCATCGAGATGCAGAGATCGATGATGGAAACGGAAGTCCGTCCGACAACGTAGTACAACACCACTTTCAAAGGGGCTGGGAGATCTTGACAAAGCCTGTGATGAGATTACTTACGGAACGAAATTACGAAAGGCTTCTGGCAACGGTCATCTCATATCTTGGTGAAGTGCTGGAGAAGCGAATCTGGAGCTACTATGGACGTCTCGATGATCTTGGAGCGGTACGACTAGAGCGAGACATTGCAAGTATCGTCAGTATAGTTGTCAGTGGTGGTCGATATGGATTACGGGACGCCTTTGCAAGGTGTACACAGATCTGCCTTGTTATGAACATGGAGAACGATGAGTGGGAGGAGCTGCAAGCTGTATCCACGGCAGGCGCAGAAGAGGAGGGCGTCGAGTGGAAGATCGACAAGGAAGAGCGTACGCGTGCTCGTGCAATGGTGAGGAGATGAATGCAGTTGGCGAATAATCTACCAAGCGTAGAAGGAAATGATCCATGGGGTCTAATTGCAAGATTTCTGGCACTCTGCATTATCAAGATGCCCTGATTTTGCAGTCTCTAAAATGAAATTTGTATACTAATTAGAAAGCTTGCTTTCTTAATGCTCAAGATTAAAATTATAAAATATTCAATAATTATAAATTTAAGGTTAATTAATTAGATCTTGAAAATTTAAAATTTTAACGTTATAATTTATCTTATTTCTCTAGTATTAAGTTAAATATAAGTATATATAAATATATTCTAGAGAGAGTTTAAAAAAAAAAAAAAATCTTTAAACTTATCTCTATTAATTTCTTTTATTATAAATAAATTTATAATTTATAATTTAAATTCGTAATCTATTTATAGTTATATATATATTATAAATAAAATATTATAGTAATCTATTATAGTAAAAAAGATAATTAAACTTATTAAAATAAATTTATATTATTAAAAGTTATTAGAGTTTAATAATATTTTTTCTAATAAAAAGATAAAAGTCTTATCTACGCTTAAGTAGAAGAATTATATTATTAAGATCGAGAGCGATAAGAAATTACTATATAGCTTTTTATATAATCTATCTTAAATAGAATTAATAAAGCTACGATATTATCTAAAGAACTTTCTTTAGAAAAATTAGATTTATTATTTAACTTTCTTAATTAAAATATTAATTTTTTTTATTTCTAAAAAGAATAAAAGACTTTATCTTTATATTAATTATCGAGATCTAAATATAATAATTATTAAAAATCGATACTCGCTATCTCTAATTATTAAGACTCTAAATTATTTATATAACGTTAAAGTCTTTACGAAGCTAAATCTTAAGAATATCTATTATTAAATTTAAATTAAAGAAGATAATAAGTGAAAAATAGCGTTTTATAATCGCTATAGCTACTTTAAATATTTAATTATACCTTTTAAACTCGCTAATATATTAATAACTTTTTAAATATATATTAATAGAGCTCTTATAGATCTAGTAAATATAACGTATATAATATATTTAGATAATATTCTAATTTATAATATTAATTTAGCGAAGTATTAACGATATATTAAATAAGTACTTAAGCGTTTATATTAGTTTTAACTATACGCTAATTTAAAAAAGTATTAATTCTATATTAAGCGGGTTAAGTTTCTAAAGTTTATTATATTTATCGAAAATATTATAATAAATTAAAAATATATCGCTATTATTAAGAAGTAGTTAAAATTAAAAAGTTATTAAAATATATAAGTCTTTTTAGACTTTATTAATTTCTATTAGCGATTTATCTATAGCTATTTTAATATAATAATATTACTTACTAACTTACTTAAAGAAAATAAGAATAATAAGAAATCTAGATTATTAGAGTAAATAGATAACGCGGAGTTAACGTTTTAATAGCTTTAAAATACTTTTATAATTACGCTATTTCTATATTACTACGATTTAAATTTAAAGCTATATCTTAAAATTAACGCTTTTAACTTCGATATAAGAATTATATTTTTATAATTAAATAAAAATAACTACTAGTAACTAATAGTATTCTAATCTAGAAAAATAATTTCTATAAAGTAAAACTATAAGATCTATAATTAAGAGTTACTCGCTATTATAGTATTTATAAAATAATAATATTACTATCTAAAAGATAATATATTTTATATTAAGATTTTAACGAATTATAATAATTTTAAAGGCTTTATAAAGTAGAAGAAATTAAATTCTAGATAAACTCGTTAAGCGCTAAAATTAGCTATTTATAACTTTAAGATTTTTTATTAAATAGATAAATTAAATTCTATTAACTTATTATCGCGGCGCTTTAATTATAAAAAAATTTCGTTATTAAATATTAAACTTTTATTAATATTATAAAATAAATTTATACTTTAAACTAGCGGCGAGTAATTATAAAGAAATAAAAAGATTATAATAGCGATAGCGCTTATATTTCGTATTATTAATATTTAAATAATTATTTCTAAAAGAGAGTTTAAGATTATATAAGAGATTACTTATAACGTATTCTAAAGACTAATAAAAATATTAATTTAAGATTTATAAATTTATAATAATTAAGTAAACTCTTTTCGAATTAATATTAATAAATTAATAATTAAGCGTTATATATATAGTTAAATATAAATCTTAAATTTTAAAAAACTATTAAAATATAATAATCGCCTTTATATTTCTAGAAATAAGATTTTAAAAAAAAAGCTTATTAATAAATATTATAATAATTTATTATTAGAATACTTTAATACTACGAAGACGTATAAACTACTTACTCGTAAATATTATTAAAATAAAAGTCTAAAGTAAATTATCGACTATATTAAGATATATAATATTTATTAATAAATTAAAGCTTCGCGATATCGTCTATATAGCGAATTAAGCTCGCTTCTTATCGCTATTAAGCTATAAAAGAAAATTTCTATAAACTTTATTATCGGCTTATTAGCGAATAAGTATAAGAATATTATCTATAATACTATTCTAGTTATAATAGATTAATTTATAAAAATAATAAGATATATTTCTATATCTATTATAATCGATATCGCTTAGCTAGCGAAAGTATTTTATTTTAAAATAATATATCGCTATAATATATTAAATAATATTATTAATAATAAAGGCTCTATATTTATTAATAGCTTCTAATTCGCTATTTACTTTTATTTTAAAATTAAATAATATTTAAATATTATCTTTTACTTATAAATCGATAGATAAATTAAGCGATAAAATTAAATACTAAAATACTTCTTATATATATTCGCTAACGATAAGTAAAATATTTAGATAAAATAATTATTAATAATAGAGTTCGCTTATATAAATAGTTAATATTCCTTTATTAAAATAATATTATTCTTTCTAATATATAAATATTATTCTAAAATTCGTTAAGAGATTAAGAATAACTTTATTAAGAAGAAGATATTCGCTATAAATAATAGAATAAAGAAGTTATAAATATTAAGAAATAAGATAATAGAGTATTTTTATAGCGCGGTTATAGTTTAATTTAAGTATTATAATAAAATATATTAATTTTAAAACTATAAAATAGATAATTTAATAATATTAGCGATTAAGAATTTAAAGTAGAAACGCTTAAGTAAGAAGTTATCTTATAAATTTATAAAATTATTTTAAATTATAAATAAGATAGAGATATAGATATATTATCTACTTCTATTCTCGATATATAAAATCTATAATATCTTTTATATATTATTATTTAAGTCTTATTATTTTCGCGATTATAATAATATAGCGAAAGCCTTTATATAAGTCTTTAATCTTATTAATAATAATAAGCTTTAAAAGATTAAAGAAATTATTAATAAGATTAAATATAAAAAAGATATTTAATATAAAGTTAAATAGACTAATTAAAATAAAGAGTATAATTAATAATTATTAAATAACGAACTTATTAATATTAATAAGCTAATTTAAATTTATAAGTAGATAAATAGTAAGCGAAAGTATTAAGTAATAAATAATAAGTCTCTTATTATTAAAGAGTTTAATTAATTATATAAATTAATAGCGAGTAAGTAAAGGCGATAAAATAAGATATAATTATTAATTAGATTAGATATATTTCTAGATAATATTTATACTATACGCGTACTTCTCTATACTTACTATTATTAAAATATAAATTAATAAAATAATTATATTATTTAATTATCTATTAAACTCTATTATAAAGAAGATTTATTATATTAGAGTATATACTATTAATATAGATATATTTTTACTTAGAGTAATTATTAAAGAACTATTTAAAAACTTTACGCTAGCGCTATTATTAAAAAAAGATTATTATTTAAATATTCTCCGCTATTTTAACGTTAAAAACCGAATTAAATTTATTAATTTAGTTTTTTAATAAAAAGATAATTAAAGTATAATCTTCGAGTTAATATTTATTAATATTTATTATATATCGATAAAGGCTCTTAAGCTTCTTCTTTAATAACTTATTTATTTTTTTTAATTTTTTTATATATTTATATATCGCTATAAGCTAGTCTTAAAGATTTATAATTATAATAAAAACGATTAAAATTATTATTATTATATATTTCTATAACTTATATTATTAAGTAATCTTTTTATCGAGCTTAGTTTATTAATAAGATAGCTTTTAAAATTATTTAACGCGGCGATAATATTATATTAATTTTCTTATTTATATTTAAAGATATAAGAGAATTTTAATATAGTAATTAATATCGCGCTTTTTAATCTTATAATTATTATAAAGAAAAGACTTATTTTAAATATATAAATTATTATCTTAATAAAAGTAAGTTCTATATAATAAATTAGATATTAGAACTTATTAGTAATTATATATATAAAGCGATAGTAGCGGGAATAGTTAAGGGTTAGTAGTTACGTCTATAAAACGATTATATACTTATTATTAAAGTTATTATTATTATTAAAAAAGAGTATTATAAAATTATTAATCTAGATATTAACGCGATTAATAATAATAAGATATTTATAATAAAGAGAAGTAGATTATTAATATAATAAGATATATTATATTTATATTAGTATTAATATTAATATTATAGCGCTAGAATAAATACTTATAAGAGAGATATTAGAAGTTATAAAGAATAAAAATAAATAATTTAAAAGAGATTTTTATATTCTTTATTATAGCGCTAATACTAGCGGGTAATATTTAGTAATATAAATAATAGCGATACGATAATATTTTGCTATTATCTATAAGATCGCGTCGTCTAACTATCGTTATTATTTCTATTATTATTAATTAATAATCGAAGGCGTTATCGCGGACGCGTCGCTCTATCGATTACTTTCTTCGAATTTCTATAAATAAAGATTATTACTATATTACTTCGTTATAAATATAATATATTATAAAAATAACGTTATCTATAGAAAAACTCTTC